CTGAAAGAGTGGTCAGGCCTTGGAACAGACTGCCCAGGGAAGTGGTTGAGTCACCATCCCTGGAAGTATTTAAAAGATGTGTAGATGAGGTGCTTAGGGATATGGTTTAGTGGGCATGGTGGTGTTGAGTTGATGGTTGAACTCGATAATCTTAGAGGTCTTTTCCATCTTTAATGATTCTATGATTCTATAATTAGGCACTGAACTTTGCTGAGGACACTGCTGGGACACATTGCTTTCAGGGGCAGGTTTCGGGGAGAGCTGGTTCGTAGGATCATGGAATAAGAGTAAGAGAACACTTGAGGTTGGAAGGGACCTCTGGAGGTCATCTGGTCCAACCCCCCTGATTAAGCAGGTCACCTAGAACATGTTGCCCAGGACCATGTCCAGTTGGGTTTTGAGTATCTCCAAGGAGAGAGACTCTACAGCCCTTCTTGGAAACCTGTTCTACTACTCAAGTCACCTTTAGAAGAAAAAGGGTTCTTCTGTTCAGACAGAATCTCCTGTGTTGCTGTTGGTGCCCATTGCCTCTGGTCCTGTCACTAGGCACCGCTGAGAGCAGCTGAGAAAAGCCTGGCTCTGTCCCCTTTGCACCCTCCCTTCAGGTATTTAGGTACATTGATGAGGTCGCCTCTGAGCCTAGATGTCACAATAATACAGCATAGCTCTACTCTGAGCAGCAGGGGATGCAAACCTATCTGCCACATTTCCCTGACGGGCAGCTACTGCCTTTACTTGATTCAGTTGGAAAAAAATCTGATTTCTTACAAGGAAAAGCCATATGCAGAATAAACCAGGACTTTTTCCTTTTCCCCTACAAACTGGTAATTTATTCCCAAAATGGAATTTCAGAGAACTGTCGACACCAGAACTTTCTGCACATTTCCGTTGCCTTTGGTGAATACTCTGCAGGGATTTTTTCCCTTCACAGTTAGTTCCTTAGTGTCAGTGAAGAATTGCATTCTAAATCCTTGTAAACATATTCCTATTTTCTGCTTGCAAATTGTTGTTTCTTCCACAGGACCAAAAAGGAAAGCCACTTTTGTTATGAAAACCTGTTTTGTAATAATCCACAGCTAATATTGTATAGAGACTTCTTCGTTTTCATTTTCCGTAAAAACAGAATATTTTTTGCACAAGTATGGGGGGAGAGAAGAGAAGGCAATCTGCTTTCAATTCAAACACAGCCTTTCTCTTTTGCCTCAGTAATGTCCCTAGTGTGAGACAAAGATTGAGCTCTGGTGAAAATCTGAAAGACAGAAATGCTGTAAGACATCTATCAACGGTGCAGCACAGACTGTCTTCCTTCAGACCTGTCCCAACATGTGGGTAGTGTCTCTGAAGCTGTCTCGACTAAGTAAGATACATTACAAGTGATAAGCAAACATTTTCAGGCTGTTTTCTCTTTCCTAGTGATACTCTCTTTCCTCTGCATATACACTGTCATTGGCAATGTGTGGAATTAGTCTTCTTTTCAGTATTTTTGTCAGAAAGAGTAAATACCTCCAGCAACCTGCTCTTTCTGGGATCCAACTTCACAAAAGCTCCTACATGTCATTGTCAAGTTACAAGATAATACAGCATAGCTCTACTCAGAGGAGCAGAGGATGCAAACCTACCTCCAACAGAAGACTCCAGCAACCTTCCCTTACAAGATTCCTGATGCCTGTGTTAAGGCAAGTGCTGGGATTCAAGAAGAAAGCAAAATCTCAAATCACCTTGAGCTTCTGGTCATTCAAAAAAGAATAGTAATAATTAGCAGATTTGAGATTCTGTCACCGTGGGGCTCATTAAAATGTTCTGGGAGTTCTTGGAGTGCTTCACTTCATTTGTGTGGATCAGGACTACGTGCAGATGCAGGAACCTCATGATAACTGGAGCAGAACTGAGATGGGAATTTTCTGTGTAGGAAAAAGAAGTACCTGAGACTGCTTATATTGTAAGCGGAGCACAGCCCCATGACTTGAGGCAGGTAATATTTAGTCAAATCTTAACTAGTTAACTCAGGTCATTCTGTAGTCAATGGAGAGAAGCAGACAACCCTGGTGGGCAGTTCACCTGAGATGAACCTACCTTTGTGAGGTGCCGGTCCCACTTCAGGAGCACCTCAAGGGTTGCTGCTCTCTAGGTGTCCTGGTTTCGGCTGGGATAGGGTTAAATTTCTTCCTAGTGCTGTGTTTTGGATTTAGTATGAGGAGAATGTTGATAACACGCTGATGTTTTCAGTTGTTGCTAAGTG